CTTTTCCCTCAAGAAGTTTATATGAGTTCACAGGGGATTTATATAAGGTTTGTAGATACATGTCACCTCTGCAGACCAAGTGCTATGAACAGAGATAATGTCAGAGCTGCCTGGAAACTTGCTACATGCAAAATGACTTGTCCATAAATAAGAAAAAAGTATTCACCAAGAAGGCCCTATTTGCCAAAGTTAAAAGCTCTAGAAGGTTCTGTTCCTCCCTCCCTCTGCTCCGAGCACCTTGTAGTCATTTGAGAAAAAGGTTCTAATTTGGATTAGCATTCTGACCCTGCAGCTTGGCAAAGCCCAAACAAAAGGTTTGGAGCAAACAAAAGACAAACTGGGGGAAAAAAAACCACCAACTAATCTGGAAGTAAGAACATGGAAGCAAATCCTTGTCCCCAAAGCTGCCAAGGACTGACTCGCATTGTGCTCGTGCTTTTCCAAGAGCCCTGATGTGACACTGGCATTCCAGCCCCACCAGTGACAGTGAGAGGGAGCGGGGCTGCACTGCCATCTGCCCAGCACGTTTGCGTGCACTCAACTACTGCACACTGAGAGGGGGAAGATGCCTGCCAGCTTCCCAGCACCCCGGGGAAGCAGGAAAAGCCACATTTATTCATCTAAATCAATTCCTCCTTTATAGAGGAAAAAATACCTTCCACTTCAATTATTTCAGTAAAGTGTTGAAAGGAAAACCTTTTATTTTAATTCCCTGGAAGCTAAGGGGAAAAAAACCAAACCCTTTTTGTTTTTTTCCAAAAACCAAGGAAAACCCACTACTATCACACTAGGTCTGAGCTCTCCTGTTCTTGCTCCTATGAAGATCAGGGGAATGCTGGATTCTGCTGCAAACCTGGTAGCCAGCTCGGAAAAGGCACAGCGGAATTATTATGCACAGCTGACAGCCAGCTTCCTTTAGCACGGGGACTTTCTCTCCCTCACAATGACTTGATTATTTTCAGCTCAAAATAGATCACACATTCTAAATTCCTAGGAATATAGAGCAGCAGTTAGAAGTTTCCTGCAAACAGAGGACCGGCCTTGTGAGCGCATGGAAGGGAACAGGCTGACATTTCAGTGTTTTGAAGTGATTCCTTTTCATCTGTGCTGCAGCACAACTGCCTGTGCCCCTTCCTAAGGCATTTTAGCCCTTGGGACTTCATCCTGCCAAGGCGGCCAGTTTTATGCATCGGGACAATCCACACCACCAGCCTCAGCACCTCCACAAATCTATTCAGACATTGAAACCCCAAGCAATACTCAGCAGCTCATAAAGCAATATACATCAGTCTAAATGCATGCAAAAAGCTGCTCAAACAGGCTATTTCTTTCACTCAGAAACACCTATTATGAGCGGTGTCAATTTCCACAAAAGGTCCAGGAATCAAGGCTCAGTAAATGAAATGGCCAATGAAGGCAAATGCCCTTTGAATCAATTTTTATTAGAGATTCTGACAACTTGTGATTATCTCTTGACAACGGGCCGATTGCCCACAGACTAATTAGACCGAAAGGCTTGACAAATGGTAACAACAGAAACAATTTAAAGCTGAAGGACATTTTGTTCTTAGATTAGCCTTTCCGTATTAATACTGTCCCAAAAGGGACCCAAACAAATTACAGCTCCTGATTAAAGTTCTTACACACTGACAGCCCTCTTTAGAAAGGGTAGGCTATACACACGCTCCTCTCCTTCGCAGGGAGAGCAGGGGAGAACTTTATGCTCCAGAAGGCTACAGCAACACAGGTACCCTCAGGATCATCCCATTCTGACTCTGAACTTCCCTTTCCATTCACTTCATCCCGAGAAAAAACCCACAGTGGTTATGATTTAAGTGCAAGCTTGGCACCTGGAAAGTAGTATCAAGGAACCACCTAGTACCTACAGCACACCAAGGCAGTTCATGAAACTGAGCAGCTTTCTTCATAGGGAACTTACCAGCCCAAACACTTTTACACTGCGTAGATTAAGTTCCTTCCCTACAGACAGGCATCCCATCCCTCCCAGGTGCCAGCAGTGCTATTTATGCTGCTTTTTAACATAGAATTACAGAATCACAGAATTGTCTTAGGTTGGAAAGGACCTTTCAGATCATCTAGTCCAACCATCAACTAAACCCTGATGAAAAAAGGTCACTAAACCATGTCTCTAAGCTCTATGTCAACCCAACTTTTAAATACCTCCAGGGATGGCGCCTCCACCACTTCCCTGGGCAGCCCATTCCAATGTCTGATAACCCTTTCAGTGTCAAAATTTTTCCTAATATCCAGCCTGAACCTCCCCTGGTGCAACTTGAGGCCATTTCCTCTTGTCCTGTCACCTGTGACTTGGGAGACAGACCCCCACCTCCCTAAACCCTCCTTTCAGGGAGTTGTGGAGAGTGAGAAGGTCTCCCTCAGACTCCTTGTCTCCAGGCTGAACACCCCCAGCTCCCTCAGCCTCTCCTCATAAGACTTGTCCTCCAGACCCCTCATCAGCTTTGTTGCCTTTCTCTGGACCCACTCCAGCACCTCAGTTTCTTTTTTGTGGTGAGATGCCCCAAACTGGACACAGTACTCAAGGTGGGGCAACATGAAACACTGAGATCCTGGAAAGCTTCACAAAAAGGAGTTAGCTACACCTACCGTGAGCGGGTAGCTATACCCTACCCAGGATGAAGACTCCACGTTTCAGGCCATGCTGGACCCATGAATGTCGTTTGCCCTCCAGCCAGCTTCACGAAGACAGGTTCCATGTCTTGATCAAGCAGTATGACATGACAAAACTAGAACTACTCACCTTCAAACCAACGCTGCACTGAGGTTTTGAACATCTCTAAAAAGAAGGTGGAAGGGACTAGAACACCATTCATGCTGAAGAGCAACTATTCAAGATGGATTTGTATCATATAATACCGTTGCTGTGGAAGGGACTAGAACACCATTCATGCTGAAGAGCAACTATTCAAGATGGATTTGTATCATATAATACCATTGCTGTGATCAAACTTAAGGCAGGCAAATGAAAAAAAAGCCTGTATAAAACACAGACACAGAAGTATTCCAAAACTAAGGTGACCTTCTTAAGGAATCTGGAAATCAGCAAAAGAAAGTAGCTAAAAGAGCAGAGGAGGCAAGGGTTGTTTCTTAAATCCATTTCATCTTTTACACCTGCCCAGACTGCAGCCTCCATTTCCTGGTAGCAGCTCATTTCTCAAGATCTAGTTTGGAGAAAGCACAACACCAAAGCTAGAAACAGCCCAAACACAGCTGCCACCACTCAGTCAGAATGTTTACATCAGTTTCCATGAGGAAAGCTTGAAACTCCCACCTCTAAGCAAAGCAAGCACTGAAAAGAGAGAGTGCCTCAGCAAGGGCAATCCTTCAGGGACACACCGCAATTATCAGACACTGAGCAGAGTAAATGTCAGAATGTGGATTTAATGTACACTGCATGATGAAACAGAGGATGCTGAGAAATCCACATCAACACAAGAAAAAGACACCTAGTCCCACTGGTTTTATTGTGCTTACATTTTTAAGCTCGGGGCCAGCATACTTACGTTACATTTAAGATTTCCTTTAAAGCAAATACAAGCGAGAATGTGAACAAGCACAAGAGGAGAGGGTGTCACTCCAGGTGAAATTTAATTAGCGTGAAGGCTTTAAAGAAAGATCAGACACAGTATTATTTTTCTGATCAATTTAGGGAATACAGATGACTTAAGTTTAGATAGGATTAAACTCTTGATTCTGAATTAAGAAACTCACCTTTCATTCTGAGATTCACTGTGGTCAGATGGCGCCTCCACCACTTCCCTGGGCAGCCCATTCCAATGTCTGATAACCCTTTCAGTGTCAAAATTTTTCCTAATATCCAGCCTGAACCTCCCCTGGTGCAACTTGAGGCCATTTCCTCTTGTCCTGTCACCTGTGACTTGGGAGACAGACCCCCACCTCCCTAAACCCTCCTTTCAGGGAGTTGTGGAGAGTGAGAAGGTCTCCCTCAGACTCCTTGTCTCCAGGCTGAACACCCCCAGCTCCCTCAGCCTCTCCTCATAAGACTTGTCCTCCAGACCCCTCATCAGCTTTGTTGCCTTTCTCTGGACCCACTCCAGCACCTCAGTTTCTTTTTTGTGGTGAGATGCCCCAAACTGGACACAGTACTCAAGGTGGGGCAACATGAAACACTGAGATCCTGGAAAGCTTCACAAAAAGGAGTTAGCTACACCTACCGTGAGCGGGTAGCTATACCCTACCCAGGATGAAGACTCCACGTTTCAGGCCATGCTGGACCCATGAATGTCGTTTGCCCTCCAGCCAGCTTCACGAAGACAGGTTCCATGTCTTGATCAAGCAGTATGACATGACAAAACTAGAACTACTCACCTTCAAACCAACGCTGCACTGAGGTTTTGAACATCTCTAAAAAGAAGGTGGAAGGGACTAGAACATCATTCATACTGAAGAGCAACTATTCAAGATGGATTTGTATCATATAATACCGTTGCTGTGATCAAACTTAAGGCAGGCAAATGAAAAACAAAAAAGCCTATATAAAACACAGACACGGAAGTATTCCAAAACTAAGGTGACCTTCTTAAGGAATCTGGAAATCAGCAAAAGAAAGTAGCTAAAAGAGCAGAGGAGGCAAGGGTTGTTTCTTAAATCCATTTCATCTTTTACACCTGCCCAGACTGCAGCCTCCATTTCCTGGTAGCAGCTCATTTCTCAAGATCTAGTTTGGAGAAAGCACAACACCAAAGCTAGAAACAGCCCAAACACAGCTGCCACCACTCAGTCAGAATGTTTATATCAGTTTCCATGAGGAAAGCTTGAAACTCCCACCTCTAAGCAAAGCAAGCACTGAAAAGAGAGAGTGCCTCAGCAAGGGCAATCCTTCAGGGACACACCGCAATATCAGACACTGAGCAGAGTAAATGTCAGAATGTGGATTTAATGTACACTGCATGATGAAACAGAGGATGCTGAGAAATCCACATCAACACAAGAAAAAGACACCTAGTCCCACTGGTTTTATTGTGCTTACATTTTTAAGCTCGGGGCCAGCATACTTACGTTACATTTAAGATTTCCTTTAAAGCAAATACAAGCGAGAATGTGAACAAGCACAAGAGGAGAGGGTGTCACTCCAGGTGAAATTTAATTAGCGTGAAGGCTTTAAAGAAAGATCAGACACAGTATTATTTTTCTGATCAATTTAGGGAATACAGATGACTTAAGTTTAGATAGGATTAAACTCTTGATTCTGAATTAAGAAACTCACCTTTCATTCTGAGATTCACTGTGGTCACTAAAGGGTGCAAAATCAAACATTTCTAAAAGTGTTCTGAAAACTTGTGTCAAAATCTGAATTAACAGACAGATTCATAAACAATATACATATAAGTATGAATAATTATATTACCTGAATCCTAAAATGATTTTCTGTCTATAGAATACAATTTCAAAAATTAAATTAGATTTTTAAATCCAAGCATTCCCATAGCCCAGAACACTTCTCTGCTTGAAATATCAAGATAAAATTACTACTTTTTATTCCCATACTTCCTAGATTAGAAGTATTGATGGTAGCTGAATATCTGTCTTGAAAGAGAAGACTATGGACACTCAGCACAACTGGCAATTGAGAGTCAGACTATTCAGAAAAACCCAGCACCTTAGATGAACAAAACTCTTCTAGGCAGAAAAAAAGTAATAGTGAATTATTTATTAAAAAAAAATAAACCACTCTGTAAGAGAGCTCAGAAAACAGCAGTATCTACTTTCAAAGTATATCCCAGAGAGAGGGGGGGTGTTGGGTGTTTTTTTTTTAGTATTTTATTGAAGAGTACATCAGCAAGTAAAGTTTTCAGAAAAATCTACACAGAGCTTCCTAGAAATAACAGTCCACAATTCCCTCCTTAGTTACCTTTAACCATCTGGTTTTCATATTCCCCAAGTAGCTTATACAAGGTTTTCCCCCCCTCGGTGATTTTCCTGTTTTGATTATTTTAATAAATAATGGACACCACGGGTGATCCCAAAGACAAAATCCACATCTCAGCACTGCATAGCTGGACAACTAAGTTCACTGGATGTCATCATCATCAAAGAGATCTTCAAAATCTGGTCAGAAAAATAAGAGACGGTAAAATTAACCTTAAAAGTTTCAACTTTACATACAACTGCATATACTCCACAAGTACAGTTTTTCATTATTTGGATTAAAAACAAAAATAAAGCTGAATTAAGTAAATGAGTTACTCCACCATCAGTTACTTGAAATGTAACATCAGGGTGGGAAGAGCCAGAGAAGCAAGCAAGCCAGACCTCTATCGTACACGAGTGAAACTGCTTCACTTGTACAACACAAGCTTTGCAATTAAATTCATGAAAGCAAAGTCAAGCTTCAAAGTAGGGGCTTTTATAAATGCATTAGGTAGCCATCACATTCAGAGTGGATCAACCATGATTCTGACTTCAGAACTGAACAAGTACTAGCTTTACGCATGCAGCATGTCTCAGATGCAGACACTCCTGCAGAATTTAGCTCATCATATCCAGAAACACACTTATAAATTTTGCAGGCTGACATTCACATCTGTGATTTACTGTTAAAAATCCCTTCCTTAAAAAAATGTTTCATTGCTGTGAAAGTGCTAATAATATTTCTCTCTCGGGAAACTCATCTCACTTAGACTAGTGAAATGTGGTTGGCTAATTACAGCTGCTCTAGTCATCTTTGGGAAGCACTCTTAACTTCTTTCTTCAGTGTCTTCTTTGTATATTAAGCACAAACTACTCAGTCTTTATTCTTGTAGGACTCCTAAGCTACCGATGGAATATAATACCACAACTTGATGGGAGCACTTAAATGGAAATACTTACTCCTAAATATGCTGGCTCCAACTAAGTCTGGACCCTCACAACTGTTGAGAGCATATCACAAGTTGAACCTCCTTTTTCTCTTGCATTCTAAGTCTTGTGCAACATGAGAAACCTACTTTATTTCAGAGTTGTGACATCAACACCACCACAGCAATCAGATTTAGTAACAGAACTGAAAGTCACCGTTGAAACGTCTAAATATACTTCTTAAGAAGCATAAAAAACCACCTTTGCAACCAAATGTGAGGTGGTTTATATTCCACCCTTAAGTGGCCAGATTCCTAGCTGTTCTCCTCTAAAAGCAGCCATATATTCTTGTAAGCATACAGGTGACTTTCAAATGCAGAAAACATACAAAAACAAATTTTATTTTGCCTTGGATACATATGCATGCATACCTTAAGAAATTAAAGAATTATCTGTAAAAAGCAGTAATACCCAGAGCCAATTTGTAAAGTTTTGTCAACGTTTTCATATGCATTTGCACTGTTTAATATAAGCCATTTGATACACAAACAAATCCAAGGCATTTTCCCCTGTAGTGATTAACACACTAAAGTGCCTCACACCTTCAGGAGGGCAACCACAGGCATTGTGTCACTCCCACCTGCATCATTTAACACCAAAGCATTCTTATGACAGCGCTCACTAGAAGCGTGGTTAGTGAGAACTTTGGCGATACCAGGCACCAAAAAGCATGAGAACAGAGAAAAAGCAAGAAGGTTTGGTTTGATAATCTTCAGTTCCTCCACTGGCAGGCTCAAGGCGTTACTAACCCCGCCAGGCGGGCGGTGACCCCCCGCTCCCTCTCCCCCGGAAGGCGGCGGCACTTACCGTTAAAGAAGTCGGCGTGCACCGCTTTCTCGTTGGCGGCCAGGTCCATCAGCAGCCCCGTGCTTCCCCCTGCCTGGGAAAGCAGGCGCTCAGCGCCTCTGGGCCGCAGCCGGGCCGCACGGCCCCGCCGCCACCCAGCACCCCGGCCACCCCCGGCGCAGCAGTCAGCTCCCCAGACACCGCCCTCCCCTCCTCTCCTCTCACCTCATCGAGATCCACGTAAGGGCCGGCTCCCTCAGGAAACATCTCGTCCACCGCCGGCTTCATGGCGCAGCCTCCTCGCTTCCGCTCCGCGCCGCCACTTCCGGCCGCGAAGGAGGGGGTTACTTCCGCTTTTAAGGCCGGGCAGCGGCGGCCGCTCTGCGCACTCGGCGGACTCACCTCTCACTGGTCGCCCCGAGGGCGGGCCCCGCCGTTGCCATAGCGACGAGGGCATCGCCCCGGGCCTGCAGTGGGGAAGATGGCGGCCGGCTCCCTCAGGGGCTGCTGTGTGCTCAGAGATTGGTTAACGTTGTGGGAAATAAGCTAAGCTTTGCTTCAGCTAATTGATGTATCATTGTTAGTGTGATAGTACTAACAAAGAAGCCTTAGTAATAGTAGAGTCTAATAAATTGTATCCAATTAATCCCCAGAAATGTCCTTGGTCTGTCAAAGGATCCTTGTTGGCAGAGCGTTATCTAGGTGAAGAGAAACAGACTGGACCATGGCCTTCAACACAAAAACCCAAAGGGTAGGGGAATATCAATAAGGCCAAAGAAACCAGTCTGGTAAATCTGCCAAGTAGATGGTAGCAAAGACTCTGAAATAACGTGTAGTTTAATCAACTAATCAAAGGCGTGTTTAGGATAATAATTTTGTAGAATGGTGTATGTGTGCCTTATATGGGAAAAAGTGCAAAATAAACCTGTAATAGGTCAAGGGGTCGGGAAGAATGTGAGCTCCAACTTCTCAGCCAATGAGAAGAGAGACAGAAACTCAAGCAGCCGGGATAAAGGTATAAAATACCTGAAAGCTAAAAGATCATCGTGCAACTATTTTTGGTGCACCCGATTCAGCACTGTTTCGTATTAAATTATTATTTTTTTAACCTTTGCTTCGGTGACTTTGTCCTCTTTAAATTCTAAGATGTGAGTCAGTGTTTCTCACAACATGTAAAAAACAACTCCCCAAAACCCACAGCAGAATCAAGGAGTTTATTGATTTCACCCCCATGCGACTAATTTTTCCACACAAAAGCTACTTTAAAGCATGAGATGGCCCCCATGACTGCTGTAAGGCGGCTGAGGGGGCGATTCGGGGTGCATGCGCTGGCAGCCATGTATTCGCTGAAACTGCGAAGCGGTTAGTGCTCGTGGTTGGGCACATGATAGCCAAGGTGACTTCCAAAAGGGAACTGGGCAAAGAAGGCTCTGGCCATTTCCTCGATCCTGTTGTAGGCTCCCAGGGTCCGGAAATACTCCACATAAGACCAGAAATCATTGGATGAGAAGGGCCAGTATGGCAAGGCTGCAGATCTCTGGTAGACATCTAAAATTAAAAAAAAAAAAATATTATGCAGGTCACTAGGATATGAAGAATTCCTGTTGAAAGCCTAGGCACCATCGTGGTTTGGGGTTCTCTGGGGAGGCCTTGGTCTCCTCTGGCAGAAGCAGGGCAGCAGAGCCATTGTTCTTCCCATGCTCCACACCACAGAAGATGGCTGTTCACCTGATGGAGCCAGTGCCCTCTGCTCCAGGAATGAAGGAATGGGACAAGAGAGAGGGCAGGAATCATAGAGTGGTTTAAGTTGGGAAGGGCCTTAATCATCATCTAGTTCCAACCCCCCTGCCTTGGGCTGGGACACCTTCCACTAGAGCAGGTTGCTCAAAGCCCCATCCAGCCTGGCCTTGAACACCTCCAGGGATGGGGCATCCACAGCTTCTCTGGTCAGCGTCTTCCAGTGTCTCACCACCCTCATAGTACAGAATTTCTTCCTGATATTTAATCTAAATCTACCCTTTTCCAGTCTGAAGCCATTACCCCTTGTCCTGTCACTACATGCCTTTGTAGAAAGTCCCTCTCCAGCTTTCTTGTAGGCCCTCTTCAGATACTGAAAGGCCATTATAAGGTCTCCCCGGAACCTTCTCTTCTCCAGGCTGAACAACCCCGATTTTCTCAGCTGTACTCCAGGTGGGGTCTCACCAGAGCAGAATGAAGGGACACCACCAGCACTGGGGACAATTCAAGAATTCCCTGAGATGCTTTGATTTCTAGAAGGCAGATGGGTATTTAAAAGCAAGGAGCAATTACAATTTAAAGCTGGTTTTCCCCATTCCTTCTCCACACCATTTCCTCTGCCCAGTATAACAATATGAGGAATATAAGCACCATCACCTTGCTGTGCTGAGTCCCTGCTGCCCCAGCACTGCCTGGGACCCCAGAGTCATGCCTCTTCTCAGGGGGCCATAGGAAACGGAGAAGAAAGACTTTGCCACTTAGAAGAAAGCTGCTTTTGTCCCTGCTCTAGGAATATTCAGGAAAATGTGAGATATTCATTGAAACAAGATTTCCAGTTCAGCAGGAAAACAAAAGCAAACTGAAAATGCAGGAGCATTTCACCCTTGGGCCCAAATCTGGGCAAACACCAAAGCATATATAAAATGTAAACACTTGCTCAGACCTCATAGTTACCAATGCCTTTCTGTGCAGCAAAGCTAAAGCCAGTATTTTGATTTCAATTAAAGCCCATTTAAATAAGCGGGAGCCGTTCCACTCACCAGGCTTAGCTTGGGACCAGGGTCTTTAGTGGGAATTAAGCGCCTTCAGCAATCCTATTGTCAGACGTTAATTTTACAGAGTAAAGTTTGCAGCAAGCTGGCATGGATGGCATATAACAAATCAAATGAACCAGGCAAATGCTGTCTGCAGAGGAGAATTCACTGTTTGTACCAGCTGACCTTAGACTCACTTTGCAGTCTGCCGCTTGGCCCAGTGTGAAAGAAAACCGTAATTGTTGGTAATGAGAGCAGCAGGACACTGCCTGAGCAAGGTTTTATTTTTAGATTGACACACGCTCTCCTGACTGCCTGAAGAGGTTGCCACAGGAATATTGGCTGTGCACAAATATGCAATAGCACCCTTCCACTTGTGGGAGCACAGATGCTGCATTCAAAAGATTTCAGAGCCATAAAGGAAATATAATGGAGCACAGGGGAAAACGTTTTGAATTAGAAGTAATCATGTTAGCCCTTATTCCATATATATCTTCCTGCTTTCCATATCTGCTATAATACTCTCCCATATTTGTGTCTGTGCAGCCGGGATGCTGCTGGCTGTCCTGCTGGTTATACTAGCCCAGATGTACACCAACAATAGCAGTACCTTGTTACTGCAGATACTTCTATGCAACTTCTTTTTCAGAAAGAATTGTGTCTGAAAACACCAAAGAGAGCTTAACTAATAATAATCATCAGTAAGCCCATGTAAACATCATTAGGATGTTGAGGGTTTTTTTTTTTTAATCAAAGGCAAACACTAATCCAGTGGGCTAATCACACAAAGTGACACGAACCACAGGGTGGCTGTGCTAAGGGATTTATTCCAACATTTCTTTAATTGGATTTGTGGCAATTGGTACATTTTAAGCTTGTGGTCGTGGAAGTCAGTATTTCTTGCCAATAACAAGACACACGTATAGTATTACTGTTCAGGACAGACAATTCTCAGATGTCTAATATGGTTATAAGTCTGCTGCTTTCCAGTTACAATTTTGTAGAACAGAATTAGTGACTTGACTATAACCCCTTTCCTTTTTAAGACTGCAAGTATATTAGCTCTATTATTAGTGATTAATATGTCAGCCCTTTAATAAAATTTTAGAGAAATTTTTAAAAATCCACTCTTCTTTCTGCACCAGAACTAGATGAAAGCACTTCCACAGCCCACCGAGGTTAGTAAGTGATCCGTCCAGAACTGCTGCTGGGAATCAGGTCTGGGAGTTACAAATGACTCTTTTAATTGTTAGTGGTTCAAAGGTAAGAAAAACGCAGTTCAGCAGGAAAACAAAAGCAAACTGAAAATGCAGGAGCATTTCACCCTTGGGCCCAAATCTGGGCAAACACCAAAGCATATATAAAATGTAAACACTTGCTCAGACCTCATAGTTACCATTGATATTCATTGAAACAAGATTTCCAGTTCAGCAGGAAAACAAAAGCAAACTGAAAATGCAGGAGCATTTCACCCTTGGGCCCAAATCTGGGCAAACACCAAAGCATATATAAAATGTAAACACTTGCTCAGACCTCATAGTTACCAATGCCTTTCTGTGCAGCAAAGCTAAAGCCAGTATTTTGATTTCAATTAAAGCCCATTTAAATAAGCGGGAGCCGTTCCACTCACCAGGCTTAGCTTGGGACCAGGGTCTTTAGTGGGAATTAAGCGCCTTCAGCAATCCTATTGTCAGACGTTAATTTTACAGAGTAAAGTTTGCAACAAGCTGGCACGGATGGCATATAACAAATCAAATGAACCAGGCAAATGCTGTCTGCAGAGGAGAATTCACTGTTTGTACCAGCTGACCTCAGACTCACTTTGCAGTCTGCCGCGTTAAGAATTACCATCTCCATCCTGGATTGATCGGGCATCTGTAGATAAAGAGGAAACTCATCAGTACCAGCTCCCACAAAGAAGGGCTTTCTGTTAATAAAAGGTTTGCTGTGTAGCCAGAAGCAGACAAGTTCTTTAATGCACATGTAGGACTCTCTGCACAGCCAAATGGTTTTTGTTTCTTAAATAAGGAATTCTCTGTTTGCAGTCACTCAGTGCTACAAACCAAATCCTCTTAACTAACAGCCAGAGCAGTTGTGATTAATACATGAGCAATATCTGATACTAAATAGAAGATGCTTTATTAGTAACAAAATATGTCTGGCTGCTTAAAAAAAAAAGTGATGATGCCTTATTAGTAACAAAATATGTCTGGCTGCTTGAAAAAAATAAACATGAATAAATTCAGCAGTAATCTTACCTGTTAGGATGTTCATCAGCATACAGAGGAAAAGTAAGCCAATAAATGTCATCTTTTCTGCAAGATACTGCTCGTGTTTCTGAAAAATAATCTGTACAGCCGGGGATTACTACAAGATATGAGTAATTATGTAAAGTCTATTATTTCTTCTTTCATTAGATTACTGTGTTGCAAAACATATTCTAATTAGTAGTATAGGAATAACAAGATCTAATTACATTTCCTTACTGTTTCTGAACTGCAACACAGAGTATTAAAAGAACCACAGTCCTGAAGTGTGTAGTGATATTTTGGTTTTAGGTGGCATAAATCCAAAAGGCTCCTCTGAATTGGCATGAAATTAAGTGTCTTTGGAAATGTTTTATTTTGTGGTTAATTTAATTTCACTTTAGAAATTACCTCTCTCTCTCCTGTTATCCTCTTCTTGCAGTAGTAAAGGTCTATAGCTCCAAGTCAGCTACAAAAGTCCAAAAGGATTTCTTTTCCCGTAAAATAGCGCTGTTTATGGAAGGGTGGAGGGAAAAGGAGATAAACGTCACCAAGTTACTACACCAATCTGATTTTGTTGCCTTCACACAGGGGTTTTTTTAACTGCTCACATTTGCATTATATTTCAGCACTGTCCATGGAAGAGACAGAGAACAGTTTCAGAGAAGGAATCATGAACTTTGGCAGTAACAATTCTGTATTTTGAAGACAGAGGGAAAAAATATCCAGGAGCAAATTTGGCTATTATTATCTTTGCTGCCCTCCTGATTTTCTTTTTTTCCACCCCTTCAGAAAAATGGATTTTAAGAAGTGTTATTTGAGCAAACTGCTACGAGGATATTGAGTGCCTTCTCCAGCTGAGTCGCAAAACCCACAAACACCTGACACTGATTTATGTTCTTACTTGGGATCCTCAAAATCCAAATCTTAAAGTGTACACAGGCACCAAGTGCCCACTGAAATCAGTTGGCTTACATTAAGCAAAGAAGTAGGTCCCCAATGCCCTCAGCCATGGTGATAGTGAGGGTACCGCAGCCTTCAGAGGAGGTTGATAAGGAGGACTGAAATGCACTTTCACATCATGCTGATTTTGTGGAAGGATTCCTCTCCCAATGCCAGGCAGGTGCTCCAGGCTCCAATCTGTGCAGGTTCTGAAAGATCCAGCACTTTGAGAAGACAGGAGAAGAGACACTGTTTGGAGAATATTCAATTGACATGTACATCTTGATTACTTTTAGCACAGAACTGCGGACGACAGCAGGTGTGGTCAAGGATGAGGTCTAGCAGAAAGAGCGCTGCAACTCTAGGGGCCAGGTGGGCATCTCCATGCTCCTAGAAGACATGGTCATCCAGGTCTTGTTGCCAAACCTGGCAGCTGTTTCCAGATGCCTCTGCTCTGGAAAGGGAATGCCAGTGCAGAGCTCGCTACTAACGGTCACGCTGCAATGATCTGATCTGCTCCCTCTTGGCTGGGAGTTTTCAGTTGGCTTTATGGTCTAGAAAATAATTTCTCTACCTCATTTCTAGATGCCTGCATTTCCCCACTGCACATGTGGGTCCTGGTGTTTGTGCCTTTGCTCTACCAGCTCTGCTTACCTGCCACAGGAGCACCGCGCAGCCAAAGTCTGTGCTCGGGCAAAGTCCTGGAGTGAAGAGACCCAAGCGAGTGGCCTTGCAGGAGGCCCCAGCTTTGCTGGAGCATATTCCTATCTACACACAGACTTAGCCCTGCCAAGAATTAATTAAAGATGTTCTACACACAGACTTAGCCCTGCCAAGAATTAAAGATGTTCTGAGTAAGGGAAAAAAAAAAAAAGAGCGGAGCAGGGAAAAAAAAAAAAAAAAAAAAGAGTGCTTTGTAGTGCCCCAACCTGTGCCAACTCATGTGGAGGCTGAAAAGAAAAATATTATGAAAGCAGAACTTATTCCATCTTTGAAAGCCTTTAATCCTCCTGCTTAATATTCCCTGGGCCTACAGGAGGGGTCCCACAACAGCTGGTGCTGCTGGCACCTCTGACCCTCTCGCCTGGGTGATGGAGGTGCTGGTGGGAGAGGGGTCTTCCTTGCTCGGTGGAGTCCTCTGGTGCAGCCATGCACCCAGATACACCCACCAACAGGCCTGCAAAGCCAAACAGCACTTTCCCTTTCACTGCCCAATCTGCATATCTTATTCAAGTAGACTATGAGGAGCACTGACATACGCTAATACAGGCACAAAACAGTCATTAGCTGTAATTAGATAATTAGCACAAAGCTACTTCTGAGGACATCCATCAGTACCTTATTGTTTTGGCAGTCAATAAGGAGGGTCTAGTTCCAAGTGGGAGGTAAGATAACATGTTTGGGATGACGACAAAGGACAATAACGATGTTCCTGACACAACCACATCCTGCAGCTCTCCCCTTGAGGAATTAGTGGTGCAGTAGAAGGATGACAAAGTCATGGAAGTTATCAGGTTGAGGGTCACTCATGTCACAATGTGGTCTTCTACAAAGCTGGGTGATCTTAGGAGGATTCACATAAGTTGAGGCTCACGGTGTCACACACGTTGACACCCACCTCCTTCACAGTTTCTTGTTCTGTCTTTTGAAGCTGGGAGTTACCCACTTCCAGAGCCAGGAGGATCACGGGTCTGACAGTGCAACAGGCTTCTAACAACGACAGGCTTTCAGTTTAACTCATATCAAAGTTTTCCATTTGCTAAAGCACCAACTGGAGATGGAAATAAATTCTCAGGCTTGCCATGCGAAAGGAGACTTAGGAAATTATAAAAAGAGGATGAGAATTAGCATTTAGAAGAGTTGTATCCAGTGATGCAGCCAAGAGATACGGTTGTTTTAAATGTTAATTTTAATCCTTTTTCTACCAAGGCTTCTGTTGCTGTACATGACTGCTTCCCCCCACCGCAAGCACGTTCATTCCATCTCTTCCTTTCTTTTTCCTTTAGGACCCCTTTCCTTTCTTCAGACTCCATACAAAAGTAACACCACTGGATGCCCAGCGCAAGTGCTGGTATGGAGCCGTCCACCAACAGTTGCTGACCTGCAGGCTTCTTCACCGCTGAGCAGTAATTAGAGGTGCCACGGTGCCCACAAATGCAAATTGGCTCAGCAGCAACGATATTTCAGTAGATATTATAGCCCTTAACAGTGCAGCTGCTCAAAGACTCCAGTATTTTAATTTCTTCTATTTTGGAAAGAAATTCAATGTTTTACTCTCTCAAAAAGGCTCATTAGTTCAAAACTCTGTTATGTTTGCTGGCAGCAAGTTTTTCAGGCACCTTATCCCGAAGTTCACCTGGAGTTTTTCAGCTAAGGCCATTGACTCATAAAAGCTTCACTACATTCTAGAAGGGGCTGATGGTAATGAGCTTATCCCACCCACCCGTCCCAGGAGGCTCCAATCAATATGTACTTTCTGTAGATGGCTCTCAAAGCCAGAAAATCCTGTGTACACCAGTCAGTGCTGTCAGCGACAGAAATCAATCGGAGCATTGAGGACGTACCCTTGGGAATAGGGGAAGGCAGTTTGGGCAGCACCGTTGTTTGTGTGACTTGCTCCCTGATGGGGAGCAGCCCTGGAGCTGCCAGCCCTGCAAACCCTGCCTTCAGGTGGGCCCAGCACTAATGGGCTCTTTTACACAGAGCCAGCTCCTGGGGAGCAATTCAGCACTCTGTTGATTAACAAAAAACGAAGGTAAAAGAATACAAAAACATGAGTTTATGGATGCCTTGGTTTCCTCAATAGCTGTACTAGACTGGTATTATGCACAAAAATTTTCTGTACTCCTCCAGGCACTGAAAAAAACCCATTGTTTTAAAAAAACAGAATATTTCCTATTTAATCAATAGGCAAAAGCACACACACACGCAGAGATCTGCAAGAACTTATTAAAAACCTAAATGGCACTTACAGCTGCATCTGAAGCACTTTGCCCTTGGCCTGAGCAGAGAAAACATTCTCTGTAGGGCTGCAACACTTTTGCACATCAGAAACAACCAACAGCAGTGGTACAGAGACCAACTTTAGGGAACACAAATGTTCAATTATCTCCTCCAGCAATTTGGTCCAAATAGTACAGGTCAAAAGGAGATTCAGGTGACTAGAACATGCTTTGCTCAGATAGGTGTGAATTGCCCTAGGTCTTTCACTCACATTGTCCTCCAGTTCTGCTTCACTCTTTGTGAATACAGAAGCTCCAAAATTTTTCTGATGCTGGGTTCCCCAGGATGGTAAAGGCCAGGGTAGTCAAGGAGGAATCAGGTGAGGACCTCACACTACCAAGCAGCTGAATAACAAAATGGCCAATAAAAGTAAATGTAAAATGAGGTACATGGGTAAATACTTTCAATTTTAAAGGCCCATGGCATCTGACCATTCCCACTCAGAAACTAGATTTGGAGCTAAAATAGATTGTTCTAGTAAGATGTTTGAGGCTCAGTCACAGGCAAAAAGGCAAATCAAATAGGAAGAAAGAAAAAAAACCCACAAGGCATCACTATGCCATTTTGCCACAGCTGATCCCATTTTAGCTATTGCATGCATTTTTGGTTTCACCATCACAGAAGGGCATGATAGAACAAGAAAAAGATACAAAGAAAGGGCTAAGCAGAGTTCATAGGCAAGGACCAGCTAAAGCAGAATGGGACTCTTCAACCCAGCAAAGGGATGAAAACACCTTGACTTCTACCAAGAAACATCAAATTATTCTGGCAATGGCTTGTTCAAAACAAGAAGTAGTGGATTTTGTTAATCTGTGGCATGTCTTCTCATAACATGTTATCCACTGCATGACATCCTGGCTGAGGGTGTCCTGCTCTGGGAGCAGAGCATGACCAAGCAACACTGTCCTTCTGTGCTGTGTCTTATTCTCCTCAGGCACCCTCTGCTGCTGGGGCAGGCGAGCTCCCAGGCTGACCCTGCTACAGGCTGCTTTGCTGAAATACTGCATATTTTCAGTTCTCACAAGCAGACATTTTTCCTGCCAGCAAGTGGCTCCATCAGCCTGATTATAGGAGCCCCTGGGGGCAACTGAAGGTAGACACAGCAGATGGATTTGGGTA